AGGAGTTTAGATGTAAATGGGAGCAGGGAGATGGGTCTGAGGTTGTTCGGGTCATTGGGGTCCAGGGAGGGCTTTTTAAGTATGGGGGTGATGTGTGCATGTTTCAGAGGGGAGGGGAAGTGCCTGAGGAGAGGGAGAGATTGAAGATGTGGGTGAGGGAGCGTAGGATGGAGGAGGAGGAAGGTCGTAGGAGTTGTGAGGGGATAGGGTCGAGGGGGCAGGTGGTGAGGCGGGCATCAGAGAGGATCTTGGAGACTTCCTCGATGGTAGTAAGGTCAAAGGTGCGGAGTGTGGGGGGAGCTTCAGTATGAGGAATGTAGGGTGGGGTGGAAGAGGAGGTCAGAGCAGTGGTGGGGCCGTGGGAGAGGGGTGATGAGGGGGTAGCTGAGTGAGGGTGAAGGGGGTTGGAGAGAGTTTTGAGCAGCGACGAAGTCCCTGCGGGTTATGTCGAGGGGGAGGGGGGATAAGGGGGTAGCTGTGTGAGAGGGGACGGGTTGAGAGGGCGTGTGAGTTGCGGCAATGTCCTTGCGAATTGTGTCAATCTTGTTTTTGAAGTGATTGGCAATCTCAAGGGCGGTGAGTGAGGTGCTGGGTGGAGGTGGGGGGGGAGAGAGAGTAGAGAGTTGAAGGCAGAGAAGAGTCGGCGAGGATTGGAGGAGAGGGCCTTGATGAGGGTCAAGAAGTAGGCCTGTTTGGCAGCATGGAGGGAGGAGGTGTAGGTGCGGAAGGCAGATTTATAGCGGGTGAAGGCTTGTTGGGATTTGGTTTTGCGCCATAGTCGCTCCAGGGCACGACTTTGTCGTTTGAGGGTTTTGGTGTGATCAGTCTGCCAGGGCTGGGAGCGGTCGGGGTCTGATGTTGCGTGTGGTTAAAGGCGCTAGTGAGTCAAGGCTGTTGAGAGCGCATTGTTGTAGGCGGTCAAAGCCAAGTCGGGGCAGGACAGGGGGAGGATGTGGTCATGGAGTTGGTCAGCTGCAGAGTGGAGGGAGGCAGGGTTAAGGTTGCGGAGGTTACGGCTGGTAGTAGTGTGACATTTGGAGGGGTAGGCGTTGGAGGACGAGGAGATAGAGAAGGTGATCAGGTTGTGGTCAGAGAGAGGGAAGGGGGTGTTAGTGAGGTTGTGGGGAGCGCAGCGGTTGGAGAAGACAAGGTCCAGGATATTTCCGTCAGAGTGGGTGGTGGATTGTATGCACTGTGCAAGTGCAAAGGAGGAGGTTAGGTGGAGGAGACGGGGCTGTGTCTGGGGTTGTCGAGGTTGACAGGGATGTTGAAATCCCCAAGGATGATGGTGGGTAGCTCAGAGGAGAGGAAGAAGGGTAGCCAGGAGGAGAAGTCATCCAGAAAGCGGGGTATAGATCCAGGGGGCCGGTATATCACAGCAATCTTCAGGGGGGGGTTGGGGAGAATAGTCGGACACAGTGGGCCTCGAAGGAGGAGAAGGATAGGGAGGGGGGGTTTGGGAGGACTCGGAAGGTGCTCTGCGGTGACAGGAGCAGACCAACCCCACCACCTTTACGACCGTTAGGCCTGGGTGAGTGGGTCCAGGTGAGACCTCCATAGGAGAGTGCAGCAGGGGAGGTAGAGTCAGTGGGCTGGATCCAGGTTTCCGTGATCGCTAGGAGGTTGAGGGAGCGGGAAACAAAGAGGTCGTGGATGGCGGTAAGCTTGTTGCACACCGAACGGGTGTTCAGGAGTGCACATGAAACGGGGGGGGATTTTAGGGAGCAGGGGGACAGATACTAAGTTGTGGGGGTTGCAGTAGGACGTGGAGGTGGGAGGGTGTTGAGCGGGTGAGGGAGGTGGAGGGCCAGGATTCGGGGAGATGTCCCCTGCGGCTAGGAGGAGGAGAAGGGTGAGAAAGGTGGCATGGGAGCGGGATGTGCAGGAGCGCGAGAAACTACTAGTGGAGGTGTTGGGGTCAGTAGGAGAGCGGAGTAATAGGAGGAGGTGGTGGGTGCCATAGAGGGGCGAAGGAAGCAGTGAGGACACAATATATAATTGTTTGGGAGGGGCAGAGGGATATAGTGAATGGATTTTGGAATGGAGGAGAGGAAAATGCGAAGGAGGAGTGGAAGAGGCATTTTGGGGAGGTGAAGAGAGCAATAGTAAGGAGATGATAGCAGTGAGGGGGAGATGTACAGGTTGTGGGGTGGAGCAGAGGGGTAAAGAAATGAGATTTGGGAACAGAGGATAGTAATATGATAAGGAGAAGAGGGGTGCATTATATAAAGGTACACAGAGTGGGACTCGGCCTGTAAGAGGTTTCCCAGGGTGTTTGCTTGCAGTCTTCCAGCATGCAGTAGAGCTTCTTGCTGTTGTTGTGTCATCCTGCTGCTTGAGTTCTCCTGCTTTAGTTCAACTGCTGCGTTTTAACTGCTTCTTCTATGCACTCGTTCTAAGCCGCACTCAATCTGAAGCAGCACCCCCATCAGAGACTGTGCCCCCCATCAGAGATCTCCCCCATGAGCTGATCTAAATTTATAGGGAGATGCTCAAATGAGCATTCAACTCCACCCCAATTAGAAGCTGATAAGGATCACATGAGTAGTGAGGGATGTTTCTCTCAGGAAACAGACACCAGTCGTAAAACGGGTGCAGCTGAAGGTGAGAGCTGGTCAACATATACACAAATATAAATACACCATTAGAACTAATTGAGCTCATTCTCCCTCAGCCTGAGCGCTGTTGCACAGGAACTGCAAGAGGCTGATACCAAGTCAGACTGAAAAACTTACACTCCACCAACATACACTATATTCTCAGATATGTTATAAACAATATAATTTATTAACACTAACAGTACAAACATAAACGCAGTGCAATACTAAAACATAATACGGTGCAAACAAACCAAACCAAACCACCCACAGATAACAGTATATACAAGCAAGCGTCGTCAGGCAGGCCGGGTCAATATCAATTGGGCAGGTAGGTACAGGGGGAGCAAGCGGAGAATGGTCGGGGTCACAGGCCAGGTTCAGCAGGTAGCAAGCAGCATAGTACAGAGGGTCAGGCAGAGGGATGGTCCGGGTCACAAGCCAGGGATCAGAACAGGTAGCAAGCAGCGTAGTACAGAGGGTCAGACAGAGGGATGGTCAGGGTCACAAGCCAGGATCAGAGCAGGAGAAGTCAGCAAAGGAACAGAAACAGGATGCAGGACAGATACAGGGCCCAGGACAAACACAACACCAAGGCAGAGTCTGCAAGTCTGGCCCATCCCTTAAATACACCAGTATCATCAGTTCCAGGTGTTAGCTGGCTGAAAGGTTGAGTCTCTGATTGCTGGGAGCACCCGCTGGCAGCCCTGGTACTGCAGATCAAAAGGCAGGTGAGTCCCACCATTGCTGGCCAGTCCATTCCTAACAGTACCCCCCCCCTCAAGGAGCGGCCTCAGGACGCTCCAAACAGTCCTAGCTGGGCAAAATGTTCCACCGCCCGGGTCTGGCAACTGGCGGGATATCAAAGACTGGCACACCGGGCAGGACTCCGGGCAGCGGCACACCGGGCTGGACTGGACCGGGCAGCGGCACATCGGGCAGAGGCACCGGGCAGAGGGGCAGCAGGCACATCGGGCACGGGCAGAGGCACATCGAGGCACATCGGGGCAGCACACTCGGGCAGGCACAGGCACATCGGGCAGAGGCACACGGGCAGGACTCCGGGCAGAGGCACATCGGGCACTCCGGCAGGCACATCGGGCAGGACTCCGGGCAGAGGCACATCGGGCAGGACTCCGGGCAGAGGCACATCGGCAGGACTCCGGGCAGAGGCACATCGGATTACCAGGGAGCGGGCAGGCAGGCACAGCGGGCCACGGGCAGCGGAGCGGGCAGGCACGGGCGGGGGCCCCCGGGCGGGGCGGCAGGCACCGGGCCCCCGGGCGGGGCAGCAGGCACCGGGCCCCCGGGCGGGGCGGCAGGCACCGGGCCCCCGGGCGGGGGCGGCAGGCACCGGGCCCCGGGCAGGCCCGGGCCCCCGGGCGGGCGGCAGGCACCCGGCCCCCGGGCGGGGGGCAGGCACCGGGCCCCCGGGCGGGGCGGCAGGCACCGGGCCCCCGGGCGGGGGCGACAGGCACCGGGCCCCCGGGCGGGGGGCGACCAGGCCCCGGGCGGGCCCCGGGCGGGGCGACAGGCACCGGGCCCCCAGGCGGGGCGACAGGCACCGGGCCCCCAGGCGGGGCGACAGGCGGCGGGCGGGGCGACAGGCATCGGGGCCCCCAGGCGGGGCGACAGGCACCGGGCCCCCGGGCGGGGCGACAGGCATCGGGCCCCCAGGGCGGGCGGCGGGCGCCGGACCCCCAGGCGGCGACAGGCTCGGGCCCCAGGCGGAGCGGCGGGCAGGCCGGACCCCCAGGCGGAGCGACAGGGTCTCGGGCCCCCAGGCGGGGGGCGGACCCCCAGGCGGGCGGGGCAGGCGGAGCCCCCGGGCAGGAGCGACAGGTCTCGGGCCCTCAGGCGGAGCGGCGGGCGCCGGACCCCCAGGCGGAGCGACAGGTCTCGGGCCCTCAGGCGGAGCGGCGGGCGCCGGACCCCCAGGAGGAGCGACAGGTCTCGGGCCCTCAGGCGGAGCGGCGGGCGCCGGACCCCCAGGTGGAGCGACAGGTCTCGGGCCCTCAGGCGGAGCGGCGGGCGCCGGACCCCCCCAGGCGGAGCGACAGGTCTCGGGCCCCTCAGGCGGAGCGGCGGGCGCCGGACCCCCAGGAGGAGCGACAGGTCTCGGGCCCTCAGGCGGAGCGGCGGGCGCCGGACCCCCAGGATGGAGCGACAGGTCTCGGGCCCTCAGGCGGAGCGGCGGGCGCCGGACCCCCAGGTGGAGCGACAGGTCTCGGGCCCTCAGGCGGAGCGGCGGGCGCCGGACCCCCAGGAGGAGCGACAGGTCTCGGGCCCTCAGGCGGAGCGGCGGGCGGTGCCGGAGCGACAGGTCTCCCCCAGGCGGAGCGACAGGTCTCGGGCCCTCAGGCGGAGCGGCAGGCGCGGCCCCCAGGCGGGGCGGGCCCCCAGGGGTCTCGGGCCCCCAGGCGGAGCGGGCGGGCGCCGGACCCCCAGGCGGAGCGGCGGGGCTCGGGCCCCCAGGCGGAGCAACAGGTCTCGGCCCCCCCCAGGCGGAGCGGCGGGCACCGAGACACCAGGCACGACAGTGGGCTCCGAGTCAATGGTATGACCGCAGGCACTGGGTCAGACATTGGATGGTCTGGCTGGACAGCGGGCATCGGGTCACCAGGCATCAGGTCATTTGGCTCGACAGCGGGCACCGCGTCATCTGGCAAGGCAGTGGGCTCCGAGTCAACTGGTATGACCGCGGGCGGGCACTGGGGTCAGACATTGGATCGTCTGACTGGACAGCGGGCATCGGGTCACCAGGCATCAGGTCATTTGGCTGGCTCGACGCGGGCACCGCGTCATCTGGCAAGGCAGTGGGCTCCGAGTCAACTGGTATGACCGCGGGCACTGGGTCAGACATTGGATCGTCTGACTGGACAGCGGGCATCGGGTCACCAGGCATCAGGTCATTTGGCTCGACAGCGAGCACCGCGTCATCTGGCAAGGCAGTGGGCTCCGAGTCAACTGGCATGACCGCGGGCACGGGGGCAGACATTGAATCGTCTGGCTGGACAGCGGGCATCGGGTCACCAGGCATCAGGTCATTTGGCTCGACAGCGGGCACCGCGTCATCTGGCAAGGCAGTGGTCTCCGAGTCAACAGGCACGACAGTGGGCACCGGGTCATCAGGTACCGGATTGTCTGGCTCGACAGCGGGCATCGGGTCATCAGGTATGACAGCGGACACTAGGTCACCAGGCATCAGGTCATTTGGCTTGCCAGCGGGCACCGCGTCATCTGGCAAGGCAGTGGGCACCGAGTCACCAGGTACGACAGCGGGCTCTGAGTCAATTGGCACGACAGCGGGCACCGGATCAGGTACCGGATCATCTGGATCAACAGCGGGCATCGAGTCAACTGGCCTAATAGGATCGTCAGGCTGGATCAGTTCATCATGCTGGGTAGAGGCATTAGGCCGAGTAGAGGCTTCAGGCCGAGTAGAGGCATCAGGCCGAGTAGAGTAGAGGCATCAGGCCGAGTAGAGGCTTCAGGCCGAGTAGAGGCATCAGGGCCGAGAGGCATCAGGAGTCAGGCCGAGTAGAGGCATCAGGCCGAGTAGAGGCTTCAGGCAGTCAGGCATCAGGCCGAGTAGAGGCATCAGGCCGAGTAGAGGCATCAGGCCGAGTAGAGGCTTCAGGCCGAGTAGAGGCTTCAGGCTTCAGGCCGAGTAGAGGCTTCAGGCCGAGTAGAGGCTTCAGGCCGAGTAGAGGCTTCAGGCCGAGTAGAGGCTTCAGGCCGAGTAGGCTTCAGGCGAGTATCAGGCCGAGTAGAGGCTTCAGGCCGAGTAGAGGCTTCAGGCCGAGTAGAGGCTTCAGGCCGAGTAGAGGCTTCAGGCCGAGTAGAGGCATCAGGCTGCGTACAGGCATCAGTCTGAACCACGGAAGGCAGGCTCACCGGTTTGGATACTGGCAGGATGGTATTGGTTGGAAAGAATTTTCGCTTTTTTCTGGTTTTAACTACTGGAGCACTGCAAGTAAACGCAGGTCTGCAAACGAATGGAGCAGCTGGAGACAGAGAAGAACTGGAGGATGGAACAGGAGAGGGAGCAGTTGCTACAGAGGGCTTTTTTACAGGGTTAAAGGCAGGATAGGTGCAGCGAGTGGGAACAGGGTACTGACATGCGGTAGATAGCCAAGTATACTGGGCTGTAACTGGAGGAGCTGGTGGGAATACAGGAGTAGAGTTAGAAGCAGGACTGGGTCTTTGTAAGCTGACTGAGGCTGGGTGCAACAAATCTGTCCATGTCTGCAGTAGGGGTTGAACAAAGCTGAGCTTACACAAAGTCTGTCTGGTCAATGACTGCACTGCGTTATACAACAATCTCTCAGTGTCTGTGGTGAACATGTGGAATAACGCTCCAGAAAGTAACCCACATCATCCTCTAATAACCACACCAGGGACTCTACCTGGTCTGCACTAAATGGTGGCAAAAATTCATCCCTGCATTCGGGGGAACCAGATGAAACCAACTCTGCACAAACCTCAATCAATGGCTGCACCTCAGAGAACACTGTGCCCTGATCTACTAGAACATGAGCGAGCCGTATACATTCTAGCAATTCATCCCGGGTATACTCCTTCAGAGTTTGATAAGCATACTCCCTGTCATCAAACACTAGCAGATATAAATACTCAACCTCCTCAAGATCCATCCTTCCCATCAACAAGCCAAGATGGCTTCCCTGTGCAGCCACTTCTGGTCAGGATTGGCCTTGGTGTAATGTCAGGGCTCCCAGGTATGACCAGAGGTGTGTGACTGAAGCAGGGAAACGCAGACCTCAGATATGTTATAAACAATATAATTTATTAACACTAACATACAAACATAAACGCAGTGCAATACTAAAACATAATACGGTGCAAACAAAAAACCAAACCACCCACAGATAACAGTATATACAAGCAAGCGTCGTCAGGCAGGCCGGGTCAATATCAATTGGGCAGGTAGGTACAGGGGGAGCAAGCGGAGAATGGTCGGGGTCACAGGCCAGGTTCAGCAGGTAGCAAGCAGCATAGTACAGAGGGTCAGGCAGAGGGATGGTCCGGGTCACCAGCCAGGATCAGAACAGGTAGCAAGCAGCGTAGTACAGAGGGTCAGACAGAGGGATGGTCAGGGTCACAAGCCAGGATCAGAGCAGGAGAAGTCAGCAAAGGAACATGCAGATCAAAAGGCAGGTGAGTCCCACCATTGCTGGCCAGTCCATTCCTAACAATTGGCAAAAATATGGGGACACCCCTCCAAATCATTGGATTCAGGTGTTTCAATCAACTCCATGGCTACAGGTGTCTAAAATCAAGCACATAGGCATGCATACTGCTTCTACAAACATTTGTGAAAGAATGGGTCACTCTCAGGAGCTCTGTGAATTCAAGTGTGGTACCATGATAGGTGGCCACCTGCGCAATAAGTCCATCCATGAAATTTCCTTGTTACTAAATATTCCAAAGTCAACTGTTAGTGGTATTATAACAAAGTGGAAGCAACTGGGAACAACAACAACTCAGCCATGATGTGGTAGGCCATGTAAAATGACATAGCAGGGTAAGCGCATGCTAAAGAGCGCAGTGTGCAGAAGTTGCCAACTGTCTGCAGAGTCAAAAGCTAAAGACTTCCAAGCTTGGTGTGGCCTTTAGATTATCACAACAACAGTGCGTAGACAGCTTCATGGAATGGGTCTCCATGGCTGAGCAGCTGCATCCAAGCCTTAAATCACCAAGTGCAATGCAAAGCATCAGATGCAGTGATGTAAAGCACACCGCCACTGGACTCTAGAGAGATAAAGACGTGATTCTCTGTCTGGAAATCTGATGGACATGTCTGGGTCTAGCGGTTGCCAGGAGAACGGTACTTGCCTGACTGCATTGTTCCAATTGTAAAGTTTGGTGGAGGGGGGATTATGGTGTGGGGTTGTTTTTCAGAGGTTGGGCTTGGCCCCTTAGTTTCAGTGAAGGGAACTCCTAAGGCGTCAGCATACCAAGACATTTTGGACAATTTCATGCTCCCAACTTTGTGTCCTGACCACAACCAGATAGAACACCTTTGGGATGAATTAGAGCGGAGACTGCGAGCCAGGTCTTCTCGTCCAACATCAGTGCCTGACCTCACAAATGCACTTCTGGAAGAATGGTCAAACATTCCCATAGACACACTCCTAAACCTTATGTACAGCCTTCCCAAAAAAGATGAAGCTGTTATAGCTACAAAGGGTGGGCCAACTCAATACTGAACCCTACTAAGACTGGAATTCATGTGCGTGTAATAGAAGGCTTCCTAACACTTTTGGCAATATAGTGTATGTCGGAAGCAATGAGGAGCTTTACACACATTCCTGACTGATGTGGGTAAATCTGACAATCCAACTGTCAGATGGAAGTGATCTGACGGCTGTGCAACCCTGGCAATGCTGTTTCTCCGTCCACCCACCCCGGTGCCCCACCATGTTTGCCCCACCATGTTTGCCAGGCTTTGCAAACCTTTTGGCAAACCTGGAACAGCCATGTCATGCGACACCTGGTGGTGGTGTTGAGGGGAGGGGGGTCAGCAAACATCTGTTCACTAATCTTCCCTTCCTGCTGAGAACCCTTAAAACACCATGTAAAATGTCACTTCCAGTTTCTTGACTCCTTTTTTTGGCTGGTCTGGTCAAATAAGGAGTTAATGGTGTGCTAGTCTACAGGAATGCAAAACCCATTTAAAGCAGGTCAGAAAGAAGTCAACTGCAGGTCACATGAACCTGCCAATGAATTCTGAATTCCAAAAGCATCTTCAACCGATATCAAACTGATGCCATGAACACAAGCTGCAGATATTAGTCCTTAACATGTTATTGTAATTTCAAAAGTTATTTTACTTCCTTAAGGTGTTACTAAACCCAGGACCCTGCATTCACGCTATTTGGTCTCCCACAGTACACAGAACACGGAAATGCAATTATTTTAATAAATATAAACTGCTAAATACCTTTTCTCATCAGCAGTTAGAGCAGTCTTGTGACCTCTATCAGTGTCCAGCAGAGCACTGGTTAAAGCTTGTAGGAGGAGTTTTCATTCTCCCCTGATTGCCCAATTAGGCTGCATTACCCCTGACCCTCTGTCTGCACAGGGTTGATTGGCCCTCTGCTGATCACATGTACCTTCCCAGAAAAAAACAACTTTCTAGCAATACGCACCAAACTGAGCATGTGCAGCTTGCTCTCAAGACCGTTCTTTCAGCAGATGGATTGAGGACAGTAGAAGAAGAGGAGGATCAGAAAAAAACAGGATGAAACAGCCTTTTTACCCAATGTGGAGAATTTCCCCTTAGGTTCCACAGTGAGTATGACAAGCATGCTTTACTGCATCTACAGACTGATTTAGCTGTTGTGGGTTTAGTAACACTTTAATGATATGCAGCTTTAATTAAAAGAATAGATTCCCGAGTGATCCTGCCATGAAGATAGTTGTTCATACATTTTAAGTTATAGGGTGACAACTCTCTACTAGTTGTGCTTCTGTGTTGTCACCTGGTCACATGAGCCCCTGGCTACAAGCTGCTTACTGATAAACACATGCTCAGGAACGGTCAGGAAGCCAGGCCAGAGCAATGATGCCCATTTGATGCTGGAGTGAGGGCATGTGAACAGGACAGGAAGTGCCTGAAACAGGCTTCAGGAGATCAGCAGCACTAAGATACCAAAAAGGATAAAAGAAAAAAGGTAAAATCCTGTTTTATGATTAAAAAAAGTAAACGGCAATTGTTAATGAAAAAACACAGTGTCCATATTCAGTGGCCATTAAATGGGTCCATCTGCTAGTTAATGCAAATCAGACAAAAGTTGTAGCTAAAATGTAAGCTGGCTATATAGATTTTTGTTTGTACGGAAATTCTGTAAAATCTTTGCCCATAACATTCTTGCCATCGTGTCAAATAGTTTTGTTCAAAAGCCCTTTAAATCCCAGACCTATTAAACAGGTTTCATTACAATATGCAAGATTTTTTTCCAAAACAAAAAAACCATATTCACAGTTAGAATTTTGTTCATTCGAAAAAGATTTTCCATCCCTCTCCTTTGAATGTTTGTGTGAGTATGTTTGAAAATCAATCAAACATACTCACACAAAGCAATATGACCCAATCAATCATTAGAAAATCAAACCAACATTCTGAAAACACAAATTC